GGTGGACTTCTGTCCGTTGGTTGCTTAGCTTATCTGTAAGCTTGCCCCAGTTTCGTTATGTAAGCGGTGCCCGACATGCCTCGCAGGTTGCTAAGGCGGCGGCGGTGCCCCTCCCTGACGACGATGACGAGGAGGAGGCTGCGGCTGCCGGCCCTGGGACGTCGCAGCCGTCTACGGCCGCTCCTGCGGCAGATGCCCGACCACCTGCCCAGGCCGAGGCGCGTGCGCAGGTGCAGCCGTTTAAACCTTTTGTCCCTGCAGGCTCCAAGCGGGTGAACTTCTCAGATCAACTGGAGACACCGCCGCAGGAGAAGCAACAGCAGCAGCCGGAGAAGGCGGCGGATGGGTTAGCCAAGGTGCGCTGGGAGGGCTACGACCAATACAAGCCTTAGTAACCCGGTCCTTATACAGTACTTGTTGTTTGCCAGATGCTAGCAACAGGCGGACACCAACAACTTGTGCCCTGCTCACAGGCGGCGGCAGCAGTGCCTGCGTCGACGCCTCCACCTACACCCGGCGGCGGTTTCTTCTTCAACGCCCACGCAGGCAGTACGCCCTTCCGGCCTGCAGGCGGAGAGGTACCCCTTGCTGAGACGCCGGCACCCGCCAAGGTAAGGCGCCATGGGTACAAACAGCTGGGGCTCTAACCGTATGTCTTCATCGGGGGCTGTTCTCTCTGCGCATACCGCTGGTATGTCAGACAGTAATTGTGATCATGCCGGCCTTTGGACCATGCAGGACAAGGCGGATGATGCTCGGCCGGCGGCGACCTCCATCTTCTCTTTCGGTGCGCCGGCAAGCACGCCCGCACCGGCAGAGGCCGCAGCTGAGAAGGCAAAGCCCTTTGGTGTCGTGACGTCCGGGTCAGACAAGCCCGCCAGCCTTTTCAGCTTTGGAGGGCAGCCTGCCGCAGCTGCCGCTGGCGCTGCGGCGGCCGACAAGCCTGCTGCGGCAGCGGAGCTGCAGCCCGCCACAGCTAGCGGCTTCACGTTTGGTGCCGCTCCGGTGTTTGGTAGCAGCGCTCCCAAGGCCGATGCAGCTGCGCCCGCCGCTACCCCAGACGCCAGCACGGCGGCCCCTGCCAGCGCATCAACGGGCTTCACCTTCGGTTCGGGCGCTGCTGCTGCCCCGGCCTTTGGTAGCGCTGCTGCTGCCCCAGCGTCCGCTCCTGCTACCACCGTAAGTGCCCCCGCAGCGGCGCCCCAAGCGTCCCAACCTCCGGTGTTTGGCTCAGCTGCACCCTCGTTTGGATTTGGGTCCACCACCCCGGCAGCGGCAGCCCCGGCAGCCTCGGGCCCATCGTTTACGTTTGGAGCAGCGCCTTCCAGCACACCTGCGGCCAGCTCAACTCCCACATTCACTTTCGGAGCGGCAGCCAGCGCTCCTGCTGCGGCCGCCCCAGCTGCGGCACCCGCTGCTGCCACCGGCCTAGCTTTCACCTTTGGGGCCGGCAGCTCCGCAGGCGGGGCCTCAACGGCTGCCCCAGCAAGCTTTGGGTCTCCTTTGCCCGCCTCCGTTGCCTCAGCTGCGCCGACCTTCGGTGCCGCTCAGCCTGCAGCAGGCGCCGCTGGTGGCTTTGGCTCGGTTGTCTTCGGTGCAGCTTCCGCCGGGTCCTCGAGCTTCGCTTTTGGGGATCAGTCTGCTGGTAGCAGTGGCGGCTTTGGAGCGCAGCCGAGTGCTACCGGCTCGGCCTCATCCTTTTCGTTCGGTGCGGCTTGTAAGTCGGGGACTAAACTGTTACGTTGCCTTGTGTAACGATGGGGTAACGACTCGTTTGAAACTGCGTAGTTTGCCATGTTGCGTGTCTTGCGTAAGCTAAAGCTTAATGCTCTCCTCCTTGTGTGCCCCTATGTCACATGCGGCTACTTCAGCTTTCGGCGCCAATACGCCAACTCCGACATTTGGTGCTCCAGCGGCCTCCTCCCAGCCCGCCTTCGGCGCCGCCGCGCCTGCTCCCACCTTCGGCTCCTCCGCACCGGCCAACCCTTTCGCAGCAGCTGCACCCAGCTTCGGTGCGCCGGCTGCTCAGCCTGCACCGGCGTTCGGTGCCGCACCGTCCGCGCCGGCTCCTGGCTTCGGAGCCGCTGCTCCTGCTCCCACACCTTCCTTTGGTGGTTTCGGGGCTCCTGGCAGCTCCGGCGGCGCCGGCTTCGGATCGCAGACCAGCGCGGGTGGCGCTCCAGCACCCGGCATGTTCGGTGGTTTTGGCGGCAACGCACCCACCTTTGGAGCGCCGCAGCCCGCTCCTGCAGCGGCACCGTCGTTTGGCGGCATGGCACCTGGTTTCGGCGGCATGCAGCCTCAGGCTCAGCAACCCGCTGCTCCTAGCTTTGGCGCTCCTGCTCCCGGCGGGTTTGGGGCGCCTGGTGGTTTCGGCGCTGCGCCCGCCGGCTTTGGAGCTGGGGCCCCGCCGTCGCCCGGGGGCGACGCCGGCGGCGGCTTTTCGCTGGGCCTAGGCGACCCCAAGGATGGGCGCAAGCGTGTGAAGGCGCGGCGCCATGGGGGCCATTGAGGAGAGAGCTGCAGGAGTTGCGGGGGAGATGACGGAGCAGGAGTGAGGGTCTACATAGTGAATTGTTGTGTGCGCCAGTGTTGCGATGTCAGGGTTTGCGCTGTGGATGGAAATATGCTGGACGTGAGAACTTTAGTAGTAGTGATAGCGTGCCACTAAGTAGGATAGTAATCGTGCGATGAACAGGCCTAAGCCGGCCGCTTCAATGTGCAGGATATTACTTGTGCGTGTGTTCACACTTTACAGTTGGTGCGCCTGAGGGTGCGCCAATCGACATCATACTTTGTGCGTCGTACGTGTATGTTTCGTCTTGCGTCTGTCAGTACATTGCAGGGTTAAGTCTTGACACCACATTTGCTCCTATCCCAGATTGGTACGGCTGCGTTAGCATGCACGCGCCTACCCATGCAGCAGTTTCGGCTAGGTCAGGTAGGCTCCTTGGTCACTGCTGGGTAGCTGAGCTGGAATGCCCACTCGGGCAATTTGGGGCAGTAGCAAGACGTGATGGGGTTTTACCACTACCGGTGTGGACCAGAGGAACCGGTGTGGACCAGAGGTTGCCAGGGAACCTGACATACCACTGCCCCCGGGTAAATTTAAAGCATAGAGAGAGCGCAAAGCTGTTCACGGCACGCCATGAGAACTTCCCTACGTTCATGGGCTGCGACCCAGGGGCCTTCATAACGTACTACAACAACTTCATCACTGGACAGCCAGTCATAGCTGATTATACTGTTGGCTTACATCTTGTGCTACCGCAGTAACAACACGAGTTGAAGTATCACCGCAGTCCTCAGACGGAGACCGGCCTTTAGCAGCTTAGCTTATCTGATAGGATTGCCGCAGTGAAGCCATCTAGGGCAAAACCAAGTTGTTTGTCAAAAATTATAGCACCGTCCTGAAGGAGTGACGTGACACAGCTGCGACCTCACTGGTATTCTGTGGCTGAGGCCGGCGGCCATAAGTATGGTCTGCCAGGCTTGTGAAAAGAAGCTACAAAAGGTTGGCTTGATAACTGTGGCTGGGTGGCAAACTTCGGCAACTTGTAATATCTGCATGAGCCATCGTCGGTTGGGGCCCAGGGGTACGTAGGTGATTATGCACGTGCTCAACTATAGTGGATTATTTGGAACAGGTAGCATGCCCGGAGAAATGGCGCGATAGCAAGGCCGACAAGAAAGGCGAAAGCAGTGGACGCAAGGTCAACGAAAACAAGCTGTTGACGGGAAGCAAAAGGTATGACATACCTGCACTTGTTGTAGACAACTAGCATAGGATAACGGTTAAGAGGATTCGTATGCCTTTGACCCACTGGGTCTGCTCTGTTGATGCCTAGGCGTTCGCAGGCAGCTTCGGTTAGACGTTACCCTGCAAGTGCGTGTGGTCTAAGCGGTGTGCGTAGTAGGCCATAGGTTGTGTTTCCTGGCACGTAGATACAGGAGATGGGCCTACGCAGCCCCCCGGGGGGGGGGGACAAGGGCATGGGGTTGTTGGGGACGGGATGATACGTAGGGTATGGCTGTGAACTGTGCAGAGCACTAACACCTTCCTGCCGATGCACGCAGGTACCAGCCGTACGGTCAGAAGAAGTGCAAGACCTGCAAGCAGGTAGGGCCCGGTGCTTGCCAGGAGCGCCGTGTCTCGGTCTTTAACGCATGCCGTGGGTACAGGGGTGCCTAAATATACTGCTACCGGTTCGAGCATGCAAATTGGCAATGTAACTGCCCTCAAGACTTGTGGCTTGGTCAGCTCCTATCTGCTGCTCCGAGCTGCCGACTTATTCTACTGATGCCCCCGTACTGAAGCACTGTACTCATCTTTGCACGACAGAACCTTCATCAAGACGGCCTGTACTGCCAGAGCTGCGCGTATGTCAAAGGTGAGCTGAAAGCACACATGGCTTAATAAGAACAGCTGGTTCAACGACGCCTTCAACCACTATGTTTTGTTGACTTTTACAGGCCTCTGCTCCATGTGCGGCAAGCAGCTCATGGACGTCTCCAAGTACAAGCAAAGCACCTCATAAGCCATCAACCAAGATGAGATGGTGCAGAGTCCAACGGACAACCATGCTGGCATTTGCAGTTGTTGTGGTATCCAGAGAACCCACCAATATCGAATACGGCAAGGGACATAGGTTGTGAGAGACGATCTTTCCGAAGTTGCAATGTGCTTCATGCGAGACAAGTTCGTTGCGGTGGAGATAGCAAACAGGTTGTAACGCCCATCACTCCTCCCACACAGCAAGCCTCTATACCCCACTCCAAAACAGCCATGCCGCAACACGACAGACTGCCAATGACCACAGCTTCCTTAACCAAACACCTCTCAGCCAGCGGACCCAAACCCCACCATCGCACATCCGCAGTCAGCCTCTTCACTTCTCGGCGTATCCCAGCCCCTCCCCATCGCCACCGGCTGCCGTTACTGCTGCTGCCCCCGCTGCTGCCGACGCCTCCACGCCATAGTACGCGGCCGCCGCCGCCTCCAGCTGCTCCTTCATATCCACATCCTGCACCGTCGCCGCGTCCAAAACGCCCACCGGTGGCGGCGGCGTCGCAAGCGTGCTCACCGCCACAGGCGGCGGGCAGCCCTCGGGTTGCAGCGGCGCGTACTGAAACGTGGGACCAAAGTTCAGCGTTACGGTGGCGCCCTCCTCCTGCTCGGGCATGGTATACAGCGAGACGGCGGGGTAGTAGGTTCCCTCGTTGAAGTCCCGGAATGCTACGCCCTGCGACTGCCCGTTGACGCTGAAAGTGATGACGCTGCCAGGAAGCGGCTCCGGGTTGGGTTCTGGGTCCTCGATGCGCATCCACTTGCCCTTGTACTTGGTGTACTCGTTCTGCTGCGGCTCAAGCGTACGGCCGCCCTTGGGCAGGTAGATGTACATGCCGATGACGTCACCCTCTCCGAAGCCCCGGCCGTACGGCTCACGAAGGCCGTTGCTGACCTTGCTGCCGTCCACGTCGCGAAAGCTGAAGCCAAAGGTGTCGTACCCGACAGGCGCCTGCAGCTCGGCCTTGCGCGTGCACCAGCCCAGGCGGCAGTGACCGGTCGTTCCCATCCGCGTAACGGTCACCTCGCAGTAAAGTGCGCCTTCGTGGGTGCCGTGGCTGCAGCGCGCGGTGCGGAAGCCCTTGTAACCGGTAACGCTGAGCCGGTCGTCGCTAACCCGAAGCTGAGCTGCCTTATGAACCTTGGATATAAGCACTTTACTAGGGTCGTCTAGGCCGTCCTTCGCTGCATTCTCAACACGTAGCCGCACCAGACTGATGCGATTGTCCTTCACCTCGACATCCTCAGGCTGTGGAATCGCTCTGCCAGAAGCGTTGCGCCGTTTGCCCACCTTGGCATCTGCTTGCGGCTGCTTTTTTGTGCGGCCGCCTTGGGCCAACGCCCCTGCTTCTACAGAGCGCGCGCGGTCACCCATCGCCTACCGAAAGCGCCGGCAGCAGGCCGCTAGACCCCCTTACGACGAGGCCATCTGGTAAAGGTGAAGAATGTAGGGAATGGCCCTGACGGAAACGCACAGGGTGCCAAAAAGAACAAGGCTCTGCCGCAGCTCGCGCTGGGCCTTCTTGCGGTCGGGACGGCGGGGAGCGAACATGGTGTCTAATACTTGTAACGAGTATGTCTATTTGCTTGGATGGGCCGTGCGGCCATTACTTTTGGCGGCACAACTTACGGTACGGCGACTGCCGATGAGCTCATGCGAACTTGACTCTTTCCATAACGTTTAAGCTGCGCTAGCATACATTTGGCTATCGTAGCATTGGGCTGCCCTCTTTTGTTGATATCAACTAGGGGAGACAAACAATTGTTGCAAGTGAGCTTCTAAATCACCAGCGGCACCTATAATTCATAGTACAAACCCCAAGAATGGACGTTGAAATGGAGCAAGCTGATCAGGCAAATTTAGCGCAACAGGAAGCAACGCCGGCTCCAGATTCTGCCCCGCCGGGTAGGCCCACACCCCAGAATGGACGCGGTACATTGTAGTCTATGACTGATCTGCGGCCTCACGCTTTAAGTTCCGTCCTCTGCAGCGCCCCCAAACCCTGACGTGGAAGCCTTCAACCAGCGATGGCAAACAGTACAAGCAGACCCGCAGGACTTCACAACATGGACCTCACTCCTCACAATCGCGGAGCGTCTGGTGAGCACACCCTTCAGCTCATCCTGGGAATCCGTCTGCGTCCGCCTTCTCCGCGGCGGGGTCCCTACCCTGCTGGCCTGTCTCCTTGCCTTCACTTCTCCCGACCCCTGCCCTCTGCCTGTGCAGGATGACATAGAAAAAATCCGAACAGCGTACGACGCTTTCCTCGCCGAGTATCCCCTTTGCTACGGGTATTGGAAGAAGTATGCGGACGCGGAGGCTCGCCACCAGAATGTGGACATGGCTACCCATGTGTACGAGCGCGGCGTAGCGGCGACGCCGTACAGCGCTGACCTGTGGGGTCACTACGCCGCCTTCAAAAAGGCGCAACCGGAGTCCACCCCAGATGATGTGCGCAGGTGAGCCCGTGGCGGAACAGAGACGGGTGTTCATGGTGTGACCCCTCCACCACCCGCCTTTCCCCTCACGCCCCTGATGCCCAATCGCCCCAGTCATGCCGCCCTTCGCTCCCCCGCCTTCTCACTGGCGCTTCCCTTCCGACCCACATCCCGTCTCTCCTTCAGACCTGCCGTTAAACCTCATCCTTCTTAACCCGCAACCGCCCAACTCCCCCCTACGGGCCGCTTCCCTTTTCCCACTCCCCTTCCCTCCTTCCCCTCGTCCTCCAACCTGCATCCTGCTCATGCACTCTCCCACCTACCCCCGACCTACCCCCCACCCCACCCGCCCCCGCAGCATCTTCGACCGCGCGCTGGCCTACGTGGCCACCGACTACAGCAGCCACACGCTGTGGGACAAGGTGTTTGCGCTGGAGCAGGAGGCCGGCAGCAGTCTGCAGCTGGCGGCGCTGTACGGCAGGGTGCTGGGCTGCCCCATCCGGGAGCTGGACAGATACTACACCAGGTGGGAGGGGGTGGCTGGTGGGGGGGAGGGAGGTTGAGGGAGGAGAGCGCATGGGGGGGGGGGAAGGAGGGCCCGCTACCTACTACACCAGGTGCGGGGGGCTGGGAAGGGGGAAGGGGGAAGGCCGCCCAACCGGCACGGCCGGCCTGACCCCACCACCCGCCTCCTCCCACGTTCCCTCCCTCCCCGCACACAGCTTCAAGAACTTTGTGCACCCGCTGGCGGCTGCTCAGCTCATTTCCCACAGCGAGTACGACAGCATCCGTGCCCGGCTGGAGGGGGAGCGGGCGGCGGAGGCGGCAAAGGCGGCGGAGGCGGCGAGGGTGAAGGCGGAGGCGGACGCCAAGGCAGCCGCGGAGGCGAAGGCAGCAGCGGAGGCGAAGGCGGCGGAGGCGGCTCAATCAGCGGCGGCGGAGGGGGAGGGCGCGGAGGAGGTGAAGAAGGAGCCATCCTCAACGGCGGAGGTGGAGGCGGCGGAGGGAGCAACGGCGGAGGCGGAGGTGAAGCCGGAGGCTGATGCGACAGCGGAGGAGGAAGCAGCGCCGGGGACCGATGCCGCCGCCGCTGCAACAGCAGCACCAGCAGCGGCGGAGGCGGAGTGGGCTACCGGCGGAGATGGCGACCAAGCCATGGCTGATGTCAAGCCCGAGCCTGATGCCGCCCCCTCCTCCGACCCCTCCTCCGCACCCGCTGCTGACGGGACAACGGAGGTCAAGCCTGACCCAGAAGCCAAGCCTGACACCGATGCCGCAGCCACCACCGATACCACCGCCACCACCGCGGAAGCCGAAGCCACCACCCCGGCAGCGGCTCCGGAGCCCGCCAAACCCGAACCCATCGTGGTGACGGACGAGGAGATCAAGACGGTGTGGGTACGGCAGCAGGACGAGACGTACGAGCGCACCAAGCAGGAGCTCCTGCGCCGCAAGCCCTTCGAGGACGCGGCTCGGCGGCCGTACTTCCACATCAAGCCGCTGGACGGTGTGCAGCTGTTCAACTGGATCCGCTACCTGGACTATGTGGAGGGGCGCGGGGAGCACGCGGCGACGGTGACGGTGTTCGAGCGCTGCCTGGTGGCCTGCGCCAACTACCCAGGTGGGGCGGTGGGAGGGAGGGGAGAGGAGGGGAGGGGGTGAGCTGTGGGTGGTAGGGTTGGGTGGGGGGGGGTGCGGGATGGGGCCTGTGGCTGCTTGTTGCTGTGTGCGGTGTGTTCGTGCAGTTCCGTAACCCTCGCAGGTGTGTGGCCCCCGCAGCTGACAAAGACAGGCTTCGGTCGTCAGGGTCATCATCGGAAGCAGGCGGTAATAACCAGCCCACGCATGCCTAGTCGTAGTAGCATGCGTGCGGGTTCCTAGCTGGGTTGCAGACTTGCCCCCCCCTGTCCTGCGCACACACCCCGCTCGTGACGAGCCCCATGATGGCTTGCAGGCGGCAGCTGACGGCCCCCCTGCGGCCCCGGCTTGACAACCAGGCAGGCAGGCAGGCGGGCTGGCAGGCCTCGCTGACACGCCCTCTTACTCTTACAACTCATGCGGTATGCACTGCTCTGCAAAGGGTGCTGTAGAGGGTGCCTTGCTGCTGCCGCCTCTCCCTTGCTCCGGGCATGCCCCACCGTTCACAATGCATTCCCCTTCCCCTCCTCTTTGGTCCGGTCGGCAGCGATACCACCTCGTCACACATAACAGCAGCAGCAGCAGCACCGGGCCCGTCGTAAGCCCTTCTCCCCGCTGCTCCCTCTCCCACCCCCGGGTATGTGTGCTGCCCTTGCCAGTGCTCCCCCCAGGTGAGGCCCCGGGGTGAGGTGCCCTCTGCTGCCACAGCCGCTCCCAGCCCCCCTCTTTCGCCACCTACTCCTCACCGCTCCCTTCCACAGCCATACCCACCTTTTCCCTCCTCCCTGCCCCCCTCCCTTCCCCTCCCAATTCCCCGCCCCTCCAAACCCTGCCCCCCCCCAAACAGAGTTCTGGCAGCGCTACATCCGCTACCTGGACCGCTCCGGCGACCAGTCCGCCGCCCGCGCAGCGCTGGACCGCGCGCTGCTGGGCTTCTGCAAGCGGCGGCCTGAGATGCACCTCTTCGCGGCGCACTTTGCGGAGGCGCGCGGGGCGGTGGAGGAGGCGCGCGGGCGGTACAAGCAGCTGCTGAACTGCGTGGCGCCGCGGCTGCTGGAGGCGGTCACTGCGGCGGCAAACTTTGAGCGGCGGCAGGTGGGGTGGGGTGGGAAGGAGGGGCATTGGAGCACGTGATGAGGAGGAGGGGAAGAGGAGCTGGCAGCGATATCTTCATGTCTCCCTGTACCCTCATATGTGACGACAGTGCTGGTTGTGAGTCGGAACACGTCTGCTCTCCTCGCACTCCGCTCTCCCGTCAGTTTCCTTATCTTTACCCACCCCCCTGTACCCCCCTGTGGGTCATGTCGTCATGTGATAACAGTGCTGATTGCGAGTCGGGACGCGTTACCTAACCGTTCCTCACTCCTGTTTTCACCTCCCCCTGCCCCCCCTCCCGCGCGCAGGGCAACCTGTCTGCCGCGTGCGCCTACCTTGCCGAGCTGATGAGCGAGGAGCGGTCCAAGGAGGGCAGCCGCATCTACCCCTTCCTGGCCATCCACTACGCGCACTTCATGCGGCAGCACACCGGGGACCTGGCGGCGGCGAGGAAGGTGCGGGGGGGGGAGGAAAGAGCGGGGAGGGGGCTGGGAGGGTTAGAGCCGGTAGCTGCTGATGATGGGGAGGAGGAGGAGTAAGGGGAGGGGGAGGGGGAGACCCTACTCCTCTTAGCAGGCTATGGAAGATTTCCGGGGCGCAAGCAGAGGTTTAGTCATCCAGTAGTAGCATGCCGTAAGGTGCCCCCACGCCCCTACGCCCCTTCCGTGCCGCCTGTCACTGTTTCCTTGCGGCTCAGTTTACTGATCACCCCCCACCTCGCCCCCCTCATCCCTCTCATCCCCACCAGGTGTTGGACGACGCACTGGCGCAGTGCCCCGGCGTACGGAGCCTCTGGGAGGCCGCCGTACACTTTGAGGAGCTGGTGGGCGGGCCCGATGCTGTCGTACGGGCACTCGACCTGTACGACAAATGTACTGCCTCCCCGGCGGAGGGCTCCGCGGCCGCAACCGCCGCCGGCAGGTGCCTACCCGAGCGCGACCGGGAGGAGCTCTCAGCCCGGGCGGTTGATTTCGCCGACATGTACGGCACGTACGAGCAGCTCAAGGCGGTTTCGGAGCGCCATGCGCAGCGCTTCATGCTGCCCACCACCGTGACTGCGGAGGCGCGGGCGGCGGCGACTGCGAAGCGCGTGGCGGAGGCGTCTGCTGCGGGCAGCGGCGGCGGCGCGGCGCACAAGGTGCCGCGTCCCGATGTAGCGGCAACGAGTGCACCTGCCGCCGCGGCAGCGGCGGCGGCGGCGGCGGTGCCGCCTCCGCCGCCCATGATGCCCTCAGCGGCGGCAGCTGGGTACGGGTACCCGCCGGCGCCGCCGGCAGCGGCCGCTGCTGCTGCTGCGGCGGCGTATTCCCAGTATTACGGCTACGGGCAGTACCCGGCGGCAGCTCAGTACCCGGGTTACGGAGCCTACCCTGGGTACGGCTACTGAGCGAGTACGGCAGCTGTGAATAGGTTTGATGGCGTGTGGACGGTTTCGGGATCCGGAGATGTGTGGGGCAACGTGGGGCGCTCACTGCGAGTTTCGCTGCGAGAGGTTGGCCGCGAGGGGGCGAGGTTGCGAGGGGTGAGGAGTACCGGTAGGAAGAAGGCTAAAGGGTCGCTGGCGGCGGTGGAATGTTGTTGACGTACGGTAGCGACCCAGATGGACGAGGCGAATGGGCTGCGGGCTGTCCCTGGTTGAATAGGGAAGGAGAGCCTTGGAGGAAGTCGGGGTACACGTTAAGACATGTCTAATCTGCAGTACGGTCAGCAGCAAGGCTTTTGCTGGCTCTGGCTCACTGGCTTTGGAAGAATTTAGCCGGAGGTAGTTCTGGCTGTACTGCTCGTCCATCGGGCCCATCTGTAGTCGCACAGGCTTTCGGCGGACCGAAATGCAGCCGAAGAGCCGATACACTCAACAGCCCTTCCCAGCATAACAAACTGTTAAAACAGCCATCGATTGGTTCAGAGATTCTCAGACCTAGGAACTGTTGCAATGGAGACGTCGGTGCCCAAATCATCATCAAGGACGAACTCGAGGGTTTTTTGCTTTCGAACTGTTGGAGAAGACTTGCTCGCTTTGCTCGAGGATCAAGCTGACATTACCTACGACATCATCCTCAAGGCGGAAGGCGGACGTCAGTTTCCAGCCCATCGCTGCATCTTGATTGCTCGAAGCCCATACCTGAAGAGCAAGCTCAGCTGCAGACCTCTCGATGATTTTATTCACGTGGAGGAGCTGCCTGGTGCGGACCCCGACGCTCTGGCCCTGCTAATGCGCTTCATCTATGGTGGCGTGCTAGATACCTGGAATCGACCTGTACTGAGGCCAGCAATACAGCTGGCAAGTCTATTGTCGCTGCCTGATGCAGTTGCCACGCTGGAGCAACGCCTCTTGCTAACGGTGGATAAGCAGACAATAGTGCAGGACTTGTTATGGGCAGATCGGCACAGCTTTAAGAACATATCCGCTGCACTCCGGACGGCCTATGTTAAGCATTACGCGCGAGTCATTGACCTTGAGGCCATCGTGGTGCTCGCGGAGGCGAACCCGCAGTTGATGGCACGCCTGCATATGGCGGTGCTGGACTCGCTGTACACGGTGCCAAGCTTTGCGCCCCAGGCACGAACCTCTAGGACTCGTCATACGCTATGGGCCTTCAGAGCAGCAACCGCCAAAGGCCGCGGCGATGCCACACCCGCGCCCTCTTCCACGGACGGGTTCGCCTCTGCGCAAACGCCATCTACATTTGGGCTGTTTGGATCCGAAGCATTCAGCTTCCGGTTTGGAGCAGGGTCCTCTCCATCAGCAGGTTCTGGCGCCTCTGTAACCTCTACATCGACAGGCACAGCAATCAACACCTTCGCCACAAGAGGAACTGAAACTGCCTCGGCTCGGCCTGTTGCCGGGACCTCACCCGCCCCGGCCGCAGCTCCCCTCACCACCGCACCCGCCCCGGCCGCAGCTCCCCTCACCCCCTCACCCGCCCCGACCGCAGCTCCCCTCACCCCCTCACCCGCCCCGACCGCAGCTCCCCTCACCCCCTCACCCGCCCCGACCGCAGCTCCCCTCACCCCCTCACCCGCCCCGGCCGCAGCTCCCCTCACCCCCTCACCCGCCCCGACCGCAGCTCCCCTCACCACCGCACCCGCCCCGGCCACAGCTCCCCTCACCCCCTCACCCGCCCCGACCGCAGCTCCCCTCACCACCTCACCCGCCCCGGCCGCAGCTCCCCTCACCACCTCACCCGCCCCGGCCGCAGCTCCCCTCACCACCTCACCCGCCCCGGCCGCAGCTCCCCTCACCACCTCACCCGCCCCGGCCGCAGCTCCCCTCACCACCTCACCCGCCCCGGCCGCAGCTCCCCTCACCACCTCACCCGCCCCGGCCGCAGCTCCCCTCACCACCTCACCCGCCCCGGCCGCAGCTCCCCTCACCACCTCACCCGCCCCGGCCGCAGCTCCCCTCACCACCTCACCCGCCCCGACCGCAGCTCCCCTCACCACCTCACCCGCCCCGACCGCAGCTCCCCTCACCCCCTCACCCGCCCCGGCCGCAGCTCCCCTCACCACCTCACCCGCCCCACCTCAACCGGCTCTTGCAGGGCAGACACCCGGACCCCGGATAGGTAGGTATCCTACATCGAAACGACCTCGGCACTACGGCGCACGCTTGCAAAGGTGGTGATTATTCACTTAATCGTGGCATTTCTGAAGCTTTCGATTGCAGGTTACTGGCCCTTAGCGCCCGGCTAAAAGTACGGACACTCACCTTTTGGTCCCCGCTCGCACCCCTTTGCTGCATGCAGCTCTGGTCTTCCAGAGCCCCGCTCCATCGCCCGCGCCTCAGAGCCGGCAGGCTCCCCTCCAGGAGGAGCGCGCAGCGGGCCTCGAGGCCGGAGCCGCGGAGAAGGCGACTACCAGCTCCCTTCCGCTGAGTCCGATCGCCATGTCGCCTGTTCCGCTAGCTGCCGCTCGCACTGCCGGTGAACCCACTACGAGCGCCGCAGCAGCCCCTGTGCTGTCGTTCGTCTCCGCTCTGGCGAAGGACGCCTTCAAGCCCAGCGCGCCAGCGGCGGAGACGGCAGCGGCGGCTGCTGGAACCAGCACCTGTGCGTCTGCGCCTGAGGGCAGCAGCGAGGTGCCAGCGTTTAGCTTTACGGCCCCGGACGCGCCGCTGGATGGGCGCCTACGCCACGTGAATGAGGTGGTGGGCGCTGCAGCGAGCGGCAGTGCTGCCATCCAGCCGCCTGTGTTCAAGTTCCAGGAGTCGACGGTGTCGCTGACGCCGCCTGCAGCGTCGGACGCGGCCCCCAGCCAACCGCCCTCTCAATTCGCGGAGGAGGTGCGTGTGGCACATGGGGCATGACGTTATAATAGTTGCGATGTGGCCTTGCCTAAGCGGCGGTCTTCTGTCCGTTAGTGGCCTAGCCTATCTGTAAGCTTGCCCCAGTTTCGTTATGTAAGCGGTGCCCGACATGCCTCTCAGGTTGCTAAGGCGGCGACGGTGCCCTTCCCTGACGACGATGACGAGGAGGAGGCTGCGGCTGCCGGCCCTGGGACGTCGCAGCCGTCTGCGGTCGCTCCTGCGGCGGACGCCCGACCACCTGCCCAGGCCGAGGCGCGTGCGCAGGTGCAGCCGTCCAAACCTGTTGTCCCTGCAGGCTCCAAGCGGGTGAACTTCTCAGATCAACTGGAGACACCGCCGCAGGAGAAGCAACAGCAGCAGCCGGAGAAGGCGGCGGATGGGTTAGCCAAGGTGCGCTGGGAGGGCTACGACCAATACAAGCCTTAGTAACCCGGTCCTTGTACAGTACTTGTTGTTTGCCAGATGCTAGCACCTCAGCATGCGTACGCCAACAAGTTGTGCCCTGCTCACAGGCGGCGGCAGCAGTGCCTGCGTCGACGCCTTCCCCTACACCCGGCGGCGGCTTCTTCTTCAACGCCCACGCAGGCAGTACGCCCTTCCGGCCTGCAGGCGGAGAGGTACCCCCTGCTGAGACGCCGGCACCCGCCAAGGTAAGGCGCCATGGGTACAACAGCTGGGGCTCTAACCGTATGTCTTCATCGGGTGCTGTACTCTCTGCGCATACCGCTGGTGTGTCAGACAGTGATTGTGATCATGCCGGCCTTTGGACCATGCAGGACAAGGCGGATGATGCTCGGCCGGCGGCGACCTCCATCTTCTCTTTCGGTGCGCCGGCAAGCACGCCCGCACCGGCAGAGGCCGCAGCTGAGAAGGCAAAGCCCTTTGGTGTCGTGACGTTCGGGTCAGACAAGCCCGCCAGCCTTTTCAGCTTTGGAGGGCAGCCTGCCGCAGCTCCCGCTGGCGCTGCGGCGGCCGACAAGCCTGCTGCGGCAGCGGAACAGCAGCCCGCCACAGCTAGCGGCTTCACCTTTTCGCTGGGCCTAGGCCACCCCAGGGATGGGTGCATTCGTATGAAGGCGCGGCGCCATGGGGGCCACTGAGGAGAGAGCTGCAGGAGTTGCGGGGGAGATGACGGAGCAGGAGTGAGGGTCTACAGGGCGCGGCAGCGCCTTCGGGCGTATCATCGGTCCCAGCTCCAAGCTCCGTAACCGCGATACCGACAGCGGGGCCTAGCAGCTCCGAATCGGCCTCAGCTTCAGCAGCGGGACCTGCCGTACAAGTGGTGACCGCAGAGGCGACTTCTGAGCAAGCACAGCGCCCAGCAACCGACGAGGTGTCTGCCTCTGCCGCTCCTCCGTCTGTCGCTAGCGCTACTGCTGCCGCTCCTGCTGCTGCTCCAGGTGCTGTCGAGGGCGAACCTATTACGGCCGAGCCGAGTACGGCAGCGCCCCCAGCTGACGATGCCCCGGCAGCTGCAGCACCAGCAGCCCCGTACGGATTGCGCTCGTGGGCTGCGCTTGCCGCTAAGGCCACGGTCACAGCGTTGCCAAAGCCGCAGACACGGACAGGCCCAGGCAGCCGAGGCCGCGGCCGGGTACACCTCCAACAACAACAACAGCGAGCTGGCGGCGGCGGCGGACGCCAAGGCCGCCATGGCACCGCGTCATCATCAACCGGCGCCGCGGCGTCGCATCAACATTCGATGCCCATCGGCGCTGCCTCCGTCGACAGGGACTGCTTGGGTACCACACCGCGCCCGTCATTACCACTGCTACTGCTGCTGCAGCCGCTCGCATGCAATCCCAACCGCCACCGCAAGCGGCCCCCCATGTGCAGACCTAAACACATGCCCGGCATGCGGAGGAGCCAGGCAGCACGGGTGGCTTCAGCCCTGCGCCCTCGCCCACGCACGCAGGCCAGGAGGCGGCCGCCGCCGCCGCCGCCGCCGCCGCTGCCGCCGCCGCTGCTGCGCCAAGCCGCCCTGGCAAGGGTCAGTGGACGGCTGCCTCTTCAGTTACGGCACCACCTGCCGCAGCGGCCGCTGCCCCTCATGCCGACGCTGCCGCGACCGCATCTCCGCAGCAGCAGCCTCCTCCCGGTGCTGTGGGGCCTCTGCCCAGGGCGGTCCCAACGCCCCCGGACTAGCCAGTGGTAGCGGAACCGGAAGCCCCGAGGCTACCTGAGCCGGCGGCTGAGGTCCCTAGTGTCGTGCTTGAAGCGGCGGCGGCTGTGCCCGCGGTGCAGTCGCCAGCACCGCTGCTGGAGCTACCAGCGGCGGAAGCCCCGGCGACGGCAGCGGCGGCGGAACCCGCGGCTGCCGTACCCACTTGCATTTCCGCTGCCGTACCCGGCGACAGCAACACAAGCGCTGTGGAGCAGCAGCCGGTTGTGGCGGCCAGCGAGGCCCCGGCGGCTGCTGACTTGGAGAAGGACCAAGTAGAGAAGGAGGAGGACGAGGAGGAGCAGGCCACTGAGGCTGCCATCCCTGTTGGTAAGAACCCATGGGACCTTCTGGAAGCTGCTGGTGAGGATGGCGATCAACACCTTCACCACAACAGGAACTGGAACTGCCTCGGCTCGGCCTGTTGCCGGCACCTCACCCGCCCCTGCCACAGCTGCCTCCGCCACCACTACCGTCCCTGCCGCAGCTCCCCTCACCACCTCAACTGCCCTTGCCGCAGCTTCCTCGGTTGCCTCGACTGCCACATTCCTCTCCGCCGCATTCCTGCTTCGCCTCGAGATGACAGCGCTGCCGCCTTGGCCGCAGCCGTCTTTGGAAGCCCCTGCACCCCAGTCCGCGTCACGTCCACCCCCATTGCGGTAATCGGCAGCGCGTCAACGAACGACTAAGTGCAATGTAGTCAACAGTGGTATGTGATTCATGGCAAATACGGCCGCACATGGTATGCGGCATAGGCGCATAAGAATGAACCGGCTGGGCGGGTCAGTTCGTAGGCTGTCTTGTCCTGTTCTGTTGTAGGTCGTTTGCATGCTCATGCTTTACACTATTCATCCGGGCAGCCTTGTCCTGGTGCCTGTAGTAGTCGGCGTCTGTATATGTCTTAGGCAAATGTGCATGTGTTGGCCGTGAGCCGAATGTGCATGTGTACTACCGCATGCAGGAGGTGCAGCAGCCTAGGTAGGGCGGATCATCGAAGATGGATACCGTTAAGAGGGCATGTACCGTGGGTAACGGGGGTGTTGTGCTTTTCCGTTGACCTATCCGCTCAGGAATGGGCCAGGAATGGTTAAGGACGACCGTGTAGGCGATTCCATATGTATCCAAACTAGGAAGGGGTAGATTTACTCGTGCACAAAAAGACGTCCCGCACATTAGCAGGGCTCCTGACACGACTCCCTCCGGAGAGCACATTGCCCTCGGGGCCATGTAGGCGTGTATACTTTACATAAGCGGTAGGCGGGTTACATGTTTCTGTAAGTATCGCGAGGATGGCAAAGTATGTGTTGCTAGGTATGGCACGCTGGCGTTAGCGCTCGGTTTAAGCTGCTGGGGTGACGTGTATTACAGGTGTATTAACTGGCCGCGAGGCGGAACGTACTATGATTGCGTCGGCAAATGTTTTTCTCATTGTTTGATGGGTCTTGTGATGTTAAGCCTAAGTGGCACAATACAATGAAGGATCCACCTGCTTACATGTTTTCAATGCTGAGTTGGGGTGTAGCAAGTTACTCGGCCCTTTTGTTGTTGGGTTGGATTGCAAAAACCATGGACTGGTTTATGTGGATAGTTAGTTTTGTACAGGGTAGGAGGATGGCTACAGAACCAGTCATCAGATGTGCAAAGTGTTTTCGTTCGCTGCTTGACATGCTGTCAGTCGTGTACACTACATACCGGCACATACAGCCGCGGCGCCGTAACATATACGTACGTATGGGGCACAGGAATTTTAGCATTTCGCCAATATAGCAGAACCGAGCTCCCTCAGCATTTGTGCACGCGGACGGCATGTACGCTACCCGGTACACGGACCCTGCTCATCATCTCGCCGTAATACACGGTCTGTTAGCTGTTTCCTCCTTATCCCTCACCCCAGATACAGATACAGCGTCGTTGCGTCAATCACTAAGCACAGTAGGAACGCAGCACCGGAACCACATGGGTGTATCCGTTTTAACCCCTTCACCCATTTAATGAGCAGAATGACTAGGTAGGGGTACGTATGGAACCGGTCATGAATTACATCACTGAAAGTCAGAGGCATAACAACATGTACAACCAAGTAGCTGAAGCGTCTGCGGGGTCTCTGAATATTAGCGTATAGCCCCCCGAGGGAAGAGGCGAAAGTAACCTTTATATGGGTGGGGCATGCATGTGGCTGTTGGGCTATAGTGATACCTTGGTGCAACAGACAGTGGGGCAGCACAGTGGGGTGGCTGTGCTCAGTCGCTGCTGCTTGGTGCACCTTCATAACCTCATGTGGGAATGAAGAAGACCAGGCGTTGAGTGACAACAGCTATGCTTGCTTCATGCGCGATGGACAGCTGAGAACTGCTACGTGGCTTGTGGCATCACATAGCGCCACATGAGTGAGGGCGTTTATGTCGATTGTTCCGTTAACAAGAACCCATCCCACAAATGTCGTCGTCCACTTGTGTCTACCAGTTATCCTAGCATAGGCGAATGGGTTGTCAGAGATCTTAAACTGCTGGCTGTCGTGCCGAGTCCAGAACCCCAATTAGCCGCTGCAGCTCCGAAACAGTAAGATCTCGTTTATGACGCATGTGGCTATCTTAAGGAACGTAACGAGCATGTTATGTATGGTCCTAGATAGAAGCGCGAAAGAAGGATTACGGTTAACGTTCCTTACCTCGTCTTAAGCTAGTGGGCGCTGGCAACTTTACAGCATGTCGACTGATTTATGTTCAGGGTCTTCATCAAATGATGCATCTCGAACTGTAGCTCGCGACCTGCTGGCTTTGCTCGCGGATGCCGCTGAGACACACGACGTCGTCATTAAAACTGCGGATGAGCGCCAGTTCCCTGCTCACCGCAGCATCCTAATTGCGCGCTGTAGTTACTTTAAGGCTCTGTTTAAAGGCGGCTTTTCGGATAGCTCTGCTCCAGAAGTGGACCTGCCCGGTGCCGATCCCGACGCCCTGGCCCTCTTACTTCGCTTCATCTACGGCGGCATCCTGGATAGCTGTAACCGAACTGTCTTAAAGCCTGCAATAGAACTGGCGGATCGGCTACTACTGAACGACGCGCAGGCCATGCTGCTCCAGCGCCTCTTGTCAACAGCCACCGCAGAAACAATCACCCACGACCTGCTGTGGGCCGATGAGCGCGGCTACAAGGACGTCGTGGCCAAACTCCAGCAGGCCTACGTTCAGCAGTATGCGCGCGGCTTGAGCCTTGAAGCCGTCTCGCTGCTTGCGGAGGCCAACCCGCAGCTCATGGCGCGTCTGCACATGGCGGTGCTCGCTTCGCAAAGCTCATCAAGTGCTGCGACCCAGGCGCCTGTAGCGCCAAAGGCGCCTGCTGCTCCCCAGGTGCCTGCTGCCCAGCCTGGAGTTCGTTTTGCATTCGGGGCGCCAGCCGCGCCCTCCTGCTCCATGCCCGCCGCGCCAGGCTTCGGCTTCGGCATCGCACCCTTCGGTAGCGTACCCTCCGGCAGCGTACCCTTCGGCGGCAAACCCATTTAACGCAGCCCGTCCCGTGGGCAAATGGCACGGCAGGCGACATGCCCCGGGTGAACATAACGGCCGGCTGTGGAGGGTCCATCCTTAGCTGAGGGGCGGTTGGTGGTCGGCTGGTGCGTGGGTGCTGTGGGACGCTTGCATGTGGTTTGCCGTGTGTGGCTTTACTGGAGAGACGCTGGATGGTTGCTGTGAATGCTGTCATGGCTGTGCTTCACTGGTGCTGCTTGGGTCGTCATTATCATGACCATCATCATTATCATCATCATTGTCATCGTCATCACATCAGGCGGAAGAGAAGAAGTAAGACCGTGCGTTGAGTGATAGTTGCATCCTTACTGCATGCGGGGTGGGAAGCTGAGGAAGTGGGGGCGTTGCAGGTAGGCATGTAGGGCAGGCAGGCGTGTTCATAGATGTGTGGTTCCAGCAAATGTACTGATTGCTGGACAATTTATTACAACTACAACATGTGAGGTATGTATCTCAGGTGGGGGAGCGCATTGCTCGCTGCGCATGTATTGGATATTTGTTGGACGTAGCTACATTGTGTTGACATCTTTGGCGGCTGGCAGGTGTTGCGTTATGATATTTGTATTTCAGATGCATCGGCGTTGCCATCGGCTTTTAAGCAGGTTTGGTTTGGTTCGGATCGCCCTTTAGATGTGGTTTGAGGGGCGTATGTTCGGCCGCATACATTCGTTCTTAATAGGCGAGGTTTAGAATAGGTCCGGTATGGTGTTCTGGTTGGAGGTGGTTCTGTGCAGTTCCTTCCACCGCAACACATGAGTGTGGTCCTTAGATGTCCATTTTTCCTTGGGAACTGCGTCCTGGTGCTTGAACCAATGCCGCAACACGCATCTGAACGTGTTCACGTGGACGAATGGGCTTCCCTGCAGTACTGCCGTGTGAATGCTTCTGGATGCGAGCTCCAGAGGCCAACAGTACCAGTACTAAGGGGCCGTTATCCGGTATGCAGCTTGCCTCGCGTAGGTGTTGGTGTGGCACAGTTGCTTTGTTGTACTTGCCGTTAGCGGCGGCAAGCACACGATGCCGTGTGTTGCTGGCTACCAGCCCCTGCCTGCCAATCGCCCATGAACACGGCCTGCAACAACCGTTGTACAACACTGTAATCCATTTCGTTCCCTGGCACGGTAAATCGTAAACGCCTTTCGCAGCTGCAACCCTGAGGCGCATTCACTCTTCCACGCTGGCATGAGAGCTGCTGCTGCTGCCATCCCCGCTGCCTTACGCCCTCATCATCAGGCAGGCAAGGAGATGCTGCTCCGACATGACCGATCCATGGGTCAGCAGCCGCAGCAGACGCCAGCCGTGCCTGCTCATCAGCGGTGGTGGTGCATGACAGAGGAGGATGAGAGGAATCGTGGGGTATATCGCTTCAGAAATGGCCTCTTCTTCACTTGCTTAGAGGCAGCCTTGGGGCGAGCCAAGCGATACAAGGGAAGTGTGGAATTCAGCATTAAAGAACTCCTTTCCGGGAATTCCTGCGGGCCCGTCATTGCCCACCCGCCCTTCCCCGCAGCGCAGCTCTCTCCTCACTCCGAGAGACCCCCCACCTCACCCACTTTTGCGTCGCCCGCAGGTACCCCGCGTTGCCCGGGTCCGCCGCCGCCCCCGCAGCCCCCAGCGTCAGGCTCTGCGCCAGGCGACCCCGCAGCAGCAGCGGCAGCAACGCCAGCTCGGCGGGCAGCAGCGGCACCTGGGACTGGTAGCCGGACTGGGGAGGTGGTGGTGGGGGTGGAGTAGGGGTGTGTGGGGGCCGCGGACGGGTTGGTTGGGTTGTGGATCTCGGATACGAACACTGCATTGCGAATTGGGGGTGGTGTTCCTGGTCCCTGTTGCCTAGGGGTCAGCCCGGAGGTCCCTTGAACGACTGCACTGCTCTCATCTGCCACCCGATCTGTGCCCTGATCTCCCCCCCCACCAACAACCGCACCGCACCCCCACCTACCAGCACTAGGCCCGCAGCCGCCAGCAGCCGTCGCAGCAGCGTTTCATCCCCCTCCTCCTCGCCCTCACCCTCCTTCCCCTCCGGCCCCCCCGACTGCTGCTGCGGGTTGGTCGCCTGTGCCTCCTTCCCCTTCCCCTCCTCCTCACCCGGCGCCTCGGAACCCTCTCCCTCCCCCTCCCCCTCCCCATCACCCTGCACCCCCGCCCCGCCTCCCGCCCCTGCATCAGCCCCCCCAGCCCCCCCAGCCCCCCCAGCCCCCCCAGCCCCCCCAGCCCCCACAGCCCCCACAGCCCCCACAGCCCCCGCTGAAGACCTAGTAGTCCCGCCGGCGGAGGTGGTTGGGCCACCGGCTGTGCGACCGGCGGTTGTGCGGCCCGCGGCTGATGACCCATGGGTCGTTTTGACGCCAGCAGCAAGGCGTACAACATCGTGATGGCCACCTCACACACCTGCGAGCGGGTGGGTGGGGGGGGCAGCAGGTGGAGGGGGGAGCAGGTGGGGGAGCAGGTGGTGGTGGTGGGGGGTAAGAAGGGGAACCGGCGGGGTAAGGAGAGGGAACAGACGCCTGTATGTGGTGATGGGGGGGGGGGAAAGCGGGTGGGTGGTGGGTGCGGTAGGATTAGACGATTTGGAGCACATGCGGGGGCCGCATGAGGGGGGCCGAGGTAGCGTTCGCACATCCCCATTCGGGTACATAAAGCAACCACTCAGCAATGCATGGTCCCCCACCCTCACCACCCTCACCACCCCGATCGTACCCTCGGCATGACCGCCAGGTCCCCCCAGTCGATCAGCCCCACCACCCGCCGCCCGTCCCCACTCAGCTGCGTGGCAAGAGGGGCAGTTTGGGGGAAGTTAGGGACAACAGCGAAGGCGCGGGAGAGGAGAGGTTGGGGTGAACCTGCTGCCGTGGCCGCCGGTGTCGGGGGGAAGTGGCAGCCGGGGTGCTGGCAGCGGGGATGCCAGGGCGAGATGAAGCCGTCAGCGGGAGGCCCTTCACCTCCCCCTCCCTTCACACAACACATTGGATCACCTCCGTTCTCTCCCTACGCCCCCCCCCTCCCTCACCACAACGTTGTCGTCATTGGCGTCCGCATGGCACCACTGGCGCGGCAGGACCCGCGGGTCGGCCAGTCGGGGGGCGGCCGACTGCAGCTGGGAGGCCACATGCAGCAGCTGAGACCTGGAGGGGGGCGAGGGGGGAGGGAGGGGGGGCCCGAGGAAGAGTAACCCCGGGGGTAATATGAAACGGTCCAAACCATGCCCGCCGCACAGTCACCTGTGCCGTACACATCCCACACATCCGCCCTTCCCACGTTCCCGCTATCGGCACACCCCCCGACCGCCGCCCTGCATACCCACATGCACCCTCATACACACACACACACCCTTCCAGTATGTTCCTACTCGCGGCCAGTTTTCTTAACACACACCCTTCTCACATCCTCACCCCCATCCTCAGTGTCTCATTATATCATTTTTTTACCCACCCACATACACTCACTTGCGCTCCGTGTCAAACACGTGTATGTACGGCACCAGCCTCCTGATCACCCCCGCACCCGCCTCGGGGTGCCAGTCGTGGTAGCGGGCAGCGTGCGGCGGGGGAGGCGGGGGCTGCAGCGGCGGCTGCTCTCCCCCGCCTCCTCCCTCCTGCTCGCCGCCTCCGCCTCCCGCCTCCACTACCCCCGCACCCACACCCCGCACCCCCCGGCTGCCAGCCCCCCAGCCCCCGCGTGACCTGACCCATGAGGGCGCCGAGGGAGGTGAGCAGGGTGGGGGTCTGGGGAGGGGGGGCGGAGGGGAGGGGGGATGGAGGGGAGGGGGGAAAAAATAAATAAGTGAAACAACGAATCCCAATCCCATATCCCGGGGAGGGGGGAGGGAGGGGAGGCGGGAGGGAGGGGAGGGGGGAGGGAGGGGAGGGGGGAGGGAAGGGAGGAAGGAGGGCAGGAAGGACGGCGGCGAATGACAACCCCAGTCCATTGAAGACACCACACACCACACGAGACGTCCCCACCTTCTCGACCTTCCCTCCTTGGCCCCCCCTCTCCTCAACCCCCCCCCCACCCCCCCCCCCCCCCCCCCCCACCAGCTGCTCCACCTCCGCCAGCATGCGACCCGGCACGTAGCTCACACAGCGCACCACGTGCCAGTGGCGGGGCGGGGCCGCATGGGGGGCGTGCCCCGCGGCGGGCTGTGAGGCGGGCTCGCGGGACACCTCCCCCACCCTATCCACCGCACCCGAAGCGGAAGGCAATGCAGAGGGTGATCTGAAGCCCGCTTCCTCCTCCACCTGCTGCTGTCGGTGCTGGTGTTGCGGGCAGCAGGTGCAAGGTAGCAGCGCCCAACATACCCACCCCGGGGGCCCTGCGCGCGGGGGTGGGGGTAGGGGGGTCCAAGAGTTGAGATTGTGTGCTTCGGCGGAGGAGGTCACGGAGGGAGGGTCGCCGGGCAGGGCTGGTCAGCAGGCGGTGTGACCCGCCTCATGTCGGCTGCTGATCACCTCAGCCCGCAGGTACGGAGGAGGTTGCTGCGGGCTGACCGAGCTGTGAGCTGACCGAGCTGACCGTGCCCCATTCGGACATGCTACCACATGGCTCCTTCTCCTACCGGCATCCCCGAACCCTCACCTGCATCATTGCCCCCGCCCTCATTGCCCTCACCGCTGCTGCCCTCCTGGCCCCCGCCGCTCTCACCCGCCATGCAGCCTCCTGCCGGCGTCGCAACCGCATCACCAGTCCCCGCCCCAACCGCCCCAACCGCCCCAACCGCCTCAACCACTTTGTACGGTACAGCGGCGCCTGCTGCCTGGCAAACACCGCCGCAGCTGCCATCTCCCCCGCCTCCCCCGGCACTCCTCCCAAGTGGTGGAAGTGGCGGCAGGGGGGTGTTGGTGAGCACTCCGGCCTGCTGCACTCTCAACATGGCGGCATCCATGGCCTGTAGAGGGATGGGGTGGGGTGGGGTGGGTTAGAGGAAGGGGTGAGGAAGAGTGAGGCGGGGCGAGGGAAGGGGTTGGGAGGATGGCTGGAGCCTCCAGCTGCTGCTGTCGAGGGCCCGGGCGGATGCGCATGACTGCACGGGTCAGCAGAGTGGCCGAGTCAGCAGCCAGTGAGTCAGCTCACCTGCAGGGCAGAGGTGCGGGCGCCATCTCGTGAGTTGTGAACCTTCAGCACCACATAGCTCTCACTTCGGGTGCTGCTGGTGCTGGTGCGGATACGGAAACTGCGGTCGTCATAGCTGGGGAGCTCCACGCATACATCTGGTGATATATTGCAGATGGTACTATTACTGCCGCTGCCGCTGCTAGGTCCGGTTGAGTCCTCATGGGTCGCATCGTCGCCGCTCCATCCGATGCCGAAGACCTCCCGAGCGAGGTAAACGGCTTGAGCTGCTGTCAGAAGAGGACGATGCCCTTCTCGTTTGCTTTGAAATTTATTGCAATTCTCAGGGATATAGGGTTGGGCGCTGGAGTCATCCTCTGCATGAGAGGAACCCAAAACGCCCGCCTTAGGAGGCATAACAATAGCAGGCGCTAAGTTAAAAGTTGTTAAATGTTTCGAGCAGGTAATGTTGTTTACTTCTTGGGCAGACCAACCGCTGCGACTTCGGGAAGAAGGTAGATCCCGATGACAGAATTGACAAAGGTTTAGTAGCGACGACAGAAAGTGGTTTGCTGCTGTTAGGGCCACCGGCCACGCGAACAGGTGTAGGGCTTGTCGATCTGCGAACCGTACGGGCATGAGTAAGCTAGTGAGGTAGTGACAGCTGTGCGGCGTCTACGGTATGCTCATTTAATTTTAATTATATAACAACTTTCGGTTTAAACGTTTCTCATTACCTGCCCTGCACGTCGGGGCTTTCCAAGGCATAGATGGCCGCATCGAATGGCATAGCTAGCCAGCTATACCGGTTCTTTTATCTTCTTTAAGCGTACGTTTCACAACTAATGTTGCAATCTTAATTTTGTTGTAGTGCAAGCTTGTCCAGTACCTTGCCAAGGGTACTGCCACAGCTTGTGCCTGGTCTATCTGCTGGCGATCAGATTGCATAGTACTTTCTTCCCTTCTCGCCGCAAATATGTGGTACGCCACGCGCCTTTTGCTATTCAGCTATTCGAGTATATCTGTCGCAATTTGAACGCAGTTGTGTGCCCGAGGCAACTAGGGAACCAGGAACGCGAATCTGTAGACGGGAGTGATGACTTACAAGGCCAGCAGCCCTCCCTGGCATACATGGCAGCTGCGCACCGTCCCCTCAGCTCTCGCCTCCAATGTGTATAATGCAGGTAGGCGCAAACCGACACTGCCCTTCTCACACCCAGACAGACCCTCCCCACGTGCCGCCGTACACACACGAACCAAATAAACGCAAAGGGTAGCAAACCTATACGGCTACTGTCTCCTGCTTGCTTGGGTGGGTGTGTGGATGTTGCTAGCAATAGCGGGGCAATGCCACCACCGCGGGTTGCCAGTGCCCCAAACCGGCGAACAGCGCGTGTCGTACTGCATCCGTACTACAACACATGGTACACGTCCAACAGCAACACAGCGCAATGTTACCGCCCCCACAGAAACAGCAAATGTCGTACTCCCAAGGACTGTCCCTCCTGCACAACCACGCGCCAACAGACGACCCCTGTGTCTACCCTGTGTGTGCCATCGATCTCAGCAATCCACTTCAATCAACTTCGATCAACCAGTTCGCCGCACCCACCATCGCTCCTCACACGCAACCGACTGCAACCCCGTCCTGCAACCCTACGCTTGCAACACAGCCGCCACAGGCCCTAACGGCCGCAGCAGCCCAGCAATCTGTCTGATCTTCTCAACCGATGAACACACACACACATTCCGCCGCCGCCGCCGCTACCGCTATAGTGTCAACTAGGGTGGTGTCTTCTCTCTCTCATTGTGTCTTCTCGTGGCTTCCCATCGTCCTCCATCCTCTGTCCCAAGCCAACCCCTACAACGCCCTCTCCACATCGCCTTCAACTCCGTCCAGCTCCCTCTTCCCACGCCAACTCTCCTCCGCCCCTCGCCTCCTCCGCCCCTCCCTCCTCCTCACACGGTGGTGGTGGGCGGCTTGGGTCCGGCGGGCTCGGGGGCTACCTTGTGGCCTGGGGGGGGGGGGGGGGGGGGGGGGGGGAGGGGAGGGGGAGGGGAGGGGGGGGGGGAGGTGGTTTGAGCGGTGGTGTGTGGGGCTGGGTGCGGGGGGCGAATTCCAAGGGCGGCACAGCTCTCAGCTGGTGGGTAGGAAAGCAAAGTATTGGTAGGTCATTCCCCAGGCATGCATGCAGGCAGGCAGCCCGCGATGCTTCCATGATCGCATTCGGTCGTTGCATCCGCCCTGCCTGGGCTCCCTCCCCCCCCCCCCCCCCCCCCCCCCCCCCCCCCCCCACCTGCTGCCCGGATGTTGTCCTGGATGTTCTTGGCGATGTCCTTGCCCCCCGGGCGCCCCTGCTTGTCCCACCACCATGTGCCCCCCACCGCCCCCGCCGCCACCATCACCCCCAGCGCGGTGTACAGCGCCGCCCGGCTCTTGGTGGCGGTGGCGGTGGAGGTGCCGCCCCGGGTGAGACCCTTCTCCAGCGAGTCAGCGGCGGAGATGGTCTTGGCTGTGAACGGGGACGGGGGTTGGAAGCAATGTTGGTTGGCGCGGTTCTTCGCTCCTAGCAGCCCCTCTCGCTCAGAAGGAGCTTCAAGGATTCCGCAACCCGATTTCCCTCCTCCACCGAAACCATCCAAAATACCCGCTCCTGCGCCCCTGCTAAACCCATCCCCCCCCCGCTCCCCCCACTCACACTCCGCCTTGCTGCTACCCCAGCGCAGCGCACTGCCCGCACTGACCGCCGCGTCCTTCACCCCCTCCAGCGTGCGCCGCACACCTCGCTTGGCGCCGTGCTCCACATCCTCCACCGCCTCCTCCGCACCGCGAGCGGTGACCTTGGGGGGGGGAGGGCGCAGGGGGAGGGCGCAGGGGGAGGGGGAAGAAGAACACCACGTATGTTGAATGAGAACGAGGATGGCAAACAAGATGACACGCTCCTTGGGGGGAGCCCTCAGGTGTACGACACATCAGGGCTGTGCAGCAGGGGGCACAAAGCATCGGAGGCTTGGCCTGTGATGGGAAGAGCCCTGGCCCCAAATCCAGCCCTGACCCGAGAGCACGAGTGCGGCTGTCGGCTGTCTATAGGAGTCGGTGCCAACCACCCACCCCAACCAGTGGGACACACAAGCCAACACCCCCGGGACCCCCACCCCACCCCCGCCCCTACCCTACCTTGGCCGCGTGCTTTGTGTCCTTCACCACATCCTCCGCGAAGTGCTTCACATCCTTGGCGGCACTCTACAGGAGGGGGGGAGAAGGAAGGGGGGTGGGTAGGGGCGAGAGGCGGCAAGAAGGCATGCATGCTGGCCCCAGCCCTGCAGATCACCCCTATCGATAGCATGAGGAGACTGCGGTGGCAACCTTGGTGCCAGGTGGCGGGGTTGGGATCCGCACCGGCACCATCAACGCACCCCCCACCCCCCGGCCCCTCCCCCCATTGGGTATTCTTCTTTCCCCTCCACCCCCACCTTGACCGCATGCTTGGCGTCCTTGGCCGTCTCCTCCACTGCATGCGCCACATCCTGGGGGGGGAGGGGGGAGGGAAGGGTGGGTGAGGGAAGGGGGAGAGAGAAATGGGGGAACCCAACCCAAAGCACATCCCGCACATCCCTGCTCGCCCCCCCTCGTGCGTGCAGCTCATCAACTGCATGTGCGCATGCGTGTGTTAAGAAAACTGGCATGTGTGTGTGTGTGTGTGTGTGTGTGTGTGTGTGTGTTTTACACGTACGTCCACACGCCTGCCTGCATGCATGCCCCGTACAAACCCCATACACACCGCCCCATACACACAACCCCAATCACACCACGCTTCACCCCAATCCTCCCTCCCCCTTGCCTTGGCTCCGCTCTTGAGTGTGTGTTTCGCGTCCTTGGCCGCGCTCTCAGCCGCGTGCTTGGTGTCCTTGGCCGTGTCCTCAGCCGCGTACTTGGCGTCCTTGGCGGTGCTCTGTTGGAGGGGAGGGAGGGAGGGAGGGTGTGGATGATGGCGAGGGGTAAGGGGCACATGGGTACCCTACATACACGCCCCCAGGGCAGCATAAGCAGCCCCTGCGCAGGCGGCAGGGAGGCAGCGGGGCCTCCGCAGCGGCAGCGGGGCCGAGGCGTCTTTTGAGGTGCGGTACACCGCTTGACGCGGCAAGAGCAGCTACCCCCCCGTGCGACGATCCATCCTCCGCCCGCAGCCCTCCATTCCTCGCCCCTCGCCCCTTTAGCCCCGGGCCCTGCCCCATCAACAACCCCTGCCCCCCCTACCACCCCTCCCGCTCCCCCACCACCTTGGCAGCGTGCGACACGTCCTTGGCCTTCTCCTCGGCGGTATAGGTGACGTCCTTGGTGCCGCTCTGGGGCGGGGGAATGGGGGGTGGGGGGGGTGAGACGTGTGCAAAGCAAACTCTGATATACATGCGGCTGACGTCGCTCCTTGATGGAAAAACCGGGTTAACTCGCGCCGCAGCAGGCTCGGCCGCAATTCGGCTCCAACCGTCCACCTCCTCCAAACCCACTAGCTGCACGCCCTCCTCAGTCCCCGTCCCAACCGCTACCCCTCCTCCCACCTCCTCCCCCCTTCCTACCTTGACCGCGTGCTCCGTGTCCTTGGCGGTATCCTCAGCCGACCTCTTGGTGCCCTTGAACCAGCTCTGGGGGCGGGGGTGGTGGGGGGGGGTTGGGGGTGGGGTTGGGGGTGGAGGTTGCAGGGAGAAGGGGGCATTTGCGGCAGGCGGTGTGGTGTTCAGCCTGGCCTGGCTGCGGTGGAGGCGAGGCGAGCTCGTCTCTCGCTGGAGTGACACCAAGACGAGCAGTGTGCACACATGCGTTGATGTGCCATTACCGTTCGGTATTGGTTCACAGAATGCATGCATACGTGCAGGTGCGGCCCCCCCTCCGGCGCCTGCTTTGCGCCCTCCCGCCCCGCCCTGCCCTGCCTGCCTGTCCCACTCCCCCCCCTACACTCACCATGATGCCTGCCTGTCCCACTCCCCCCCTACACTCACCATGATGCCTGCCTGTCCCACTCCCCCCCTACACTCACCATGATGCCATGTCCCGTGTCCTTGGCCTTCTCCTCGGTGGCGTAGGTGACGTCCTTGGCGCCGCTCTGGGAGTGGGGGAATGGGGGGTGGGGGGGGGTGAGCCGTGTGCAAAGCAAACTGCGGAGGAGATGCGGTCGCGGAGAACATGTCGCTGCAAGCACGCATGCAAGCATGCAGTCAGGGGTACCACAGCCAGCCAGCCCGCTAGCCAGCAGGAGGCCGATTGGAGCTGTCAGCAAACAGCGATGCACCAATTGACACCGACTGCAGAAACCGACCCACGGGTCACAACAGCAGCCGGCAGCAGCAGCAGCTGACGACGACGATGAGCAGCATGAATCGCACCACCCCCATCCCCTCCTTCCTCCCCCCCCCCCTACCTTCACTGCATGTGTGGTGTCGCGCGAGGTGTCCTCCGCGGCGTGCTTGCCGCTGGTGAACCAACCCTGGGGGGGAGGGGGAGGGTGCGGGTAATATTTAGGAAACTGGAGATAGAAAGAAAGGGGAGACGTTACAGGGGGTGCGTAAGTGA